ATTTACAATTTATTGTACCTAGTTAAAAAAAAAATTGTTTTACGTATGAAATTACTTGGTACACACGATATATTTAATACTGTGTTTCTAATCGGTATCGATTAAGATAAAATATGATATAGGCCGGCTACTAAAACCAAATACCTGAACCGTCTTAATGTAGAACCTGACTTTCGCATCCAACTGTCACAAATTGAATCAGATATTGCCAAACTTTCAAAAAATAAGCAGCCACAAAAATCTCATTAATTTTTAACTTTTAAAGCAGTATTTTTTTTCTTTATTTCAACCATAATTTTGTAATTTGTTTTTAATATGTACAATAAAATGATTTAAATCGGTCAACAATGAAAAGAAGTGTTCATTTTTATCATGTTTCTCATGATATTCATAGAGGGGCACCTAACTAAATTTGAACCAACAAAAGGGCACAGCTGACTAAAAAGGTTGGGAACCGCTGGTCAATACAATTTTGAATATACCTCACTTAGGTAGTCAGCTGAATTCTAACGTCGTGTATTTGTATTGCTGCTGACGTTGATATTAACTTTTTAGTTTTTAGTTACCTATAGTTTGCTTGGATTTTTTTTATCGAATATAGGTTTAGGTTACCTACCTAGTTGAATACTTTTAAGCGTTAAAATTATAAAGGTGGGTAAGTGGATGTCGCTCTCCTGTACAGTAGGTACTAGGTTACTATAGTAGCCAGTAGGTCACTGTATAATGGATGATATAAAATTTGAATTCAATGATATTATATCATTGTATTCGAAAAACGAGTATGAGCGGTGACGGTTTGTCAGTGTAGATATTTTATATTATATTTATATATTTTTATTGCCTATTATTACTTATTATTATTAATACAGTAGCCGGTAAGTTGAATTAGTATTATAAAATTACAACAAAATAACTAATATCTTTACTATTGAGAAATTGAGTGAATATCCAATGTTGTAAAAATTTAAACTTCAAAAGCTCATAAAAATTTAATATGACTTTCTTACAGACATTTTTTTTTTTTGATAAAGTTAGATCGCCTTATAAGGAATCTTGTATTACAATTTAAAATCTTAGATTTAAAAAGAAAATTCTTTAGGAATTTCTAACTCAGAATAATTTGCACATCTTTGCGATTTTTACGCCTTTTGTCAAAAAATCTTGACAAAATGCAGAAAAATCACGAAAATTATCTTATTACTTTGTGTGAAGAATTCCAAAAAATGTTTCTTTCTAAATCTAAGATTTGAAAATGTAATACAAGATTCCTTATAAGTTCGTATTCCTTTATCAAAAAAATAAATGCCTTCAAGTCAAACTAATTACATTTATATGAGCGTTTGATGTTTATATTTTTACAACATAGGATATTCACTCGATTTATCATCTAGCGATTTTGTTATTATTCAAAAACGAATTACTGTAAATACATGAAGATTTCACTGTTTGTTTATATTTTAATTTTATATACACCTTAAAATATTGAAAATATTTTGAGTCTTTTTGTGCTGTTTATGGACATTGTCATTTTTCAATTGTTTTTCTATAATTGTCGATACAATTTTATTTGTTTGGTTCAACAGTGTGAAAATTGAATACAAGGATCCTGATATATTTTTACAATAGCAGTTGAAAAATATGAAAAATACGTAGGCACAATTTTTTTTTACAAGCATTTAAAGTTCAAATTTTGACAACATTTATCAAATTTTAAATATAATAATTATTTTTTACCTAGTTAAAAATTTATGAAATATTCAACTTTTATAGTTAAGACTTAAGTTGAAAATTTAAAACAAGGTTCCACATAAATAGGTTGTATATAAATTACTTTATTCACAATAATCTCATCAAAATATATACTTAGTAAATAGTAATATAATCTTAGGTTGACTGACCGTCTTCGCTCAGAATCTTTTTTCTTATAAAATTATATTTTATCAATGAATTCAAATTTAATACCATCCATTATACAGTGACCCAATTGTAACCTACTGTACAGCAGAGTGACACCAATGGCCCACCTTTTTTTTTTTTTACTAATACTATTATTATATAATTGAATATTTTTAAATTAATATTTGATTCACATTCATTTGATAATTTTATAACCTATTGTTATTAAGTAGGTACCTATTTGATAGATATAGTGGGGCAGCCAGGATTATGAAATGGATACTCTACTGAGCCTACTGAGTACTGGCTACATATTATATTATGCTAAGCTTGTTAATTTCATAAATAATAAGTATTAGGTACATTTGTTGGTTTATATTGATATGATAAATAGAGACCTAGGTAGATAATATATAAAATATAATATGTATATAACAGTGTAGGTACACTGAATACAAAGTTAATGTTTCTGTGGCAGTGGCTCAATAAAACATTTACCTATCTACAGGCTATGACCAAGTAGGTACGAAGGTACTATCTGCAACTACATGACTTAAATGTATAATATAAATGTCAAGAAATCAGTTCTTTTAACTTTGTATACATACTAGACACTAGTTAGGTACTATACCTATATAAAAGTACTTAAGTATGAACATATAGGGCCGGCATGAATAGCTATATAAATTATGAGACGGAAGCCTCATGCAAAAGTGAGTCCTAATGACTCCAGTCTTCAAGACTTAGTCGGCTAGTTTAGTTTCTAATTATACTAGAATGGTCACATACAACCTGCATTTAAAATGTGTGAACAAATATTGTGGACTGCTTCATAGGAAAAAAAAGTTCATACATTCTACCACTGCATGTGTATAAACATAAAAAAATATTTTACACTTTTATTAGGTATACCTATTTATTTACTGTTCTTAATATATGGACTGAATCAGCCTCAAAGTATATAAGTATTTATTTGATCAATTAAAACAGCTAAATCATGATGCAAAATTCAAATACAAACTAGGTACCTACCTAATATACACTGTAAAAATATTTCTGTGTCTATCTAGTCATTGCTATTTGTTATTATTTCTCATTGAAACAATAAGAATTGCCGTGTATTTAACAGAATATGACAATTTAGTTTTTATTTTTCATGTTGAAGACTTGGAAGTGTACATTTTTGTACACAGTACAATAATATAATGTAGGTTGTAGGTAGGTATTAGGTATACGTGCAGTAAGTTCAGCATTCAGTTACTTGATTCAATTAGGTACTTATAAAGTTTATTTCATACTTCTTACACCAATATTAATATAAAGCAAAATTTTTTTTTGTAAGAACCTTATACCTTTAGCTATTTTTAGTATTTTAACAATAAAACTCCACATTGAAAAAATAATTTCATTAATTGCACATTCTGCTTATAATTCTATTTTTAGCCCTTTAGAAGTAACATAACATTTATTTATAATTTGAAGAGGGTCATAAATATTTTCACCTTTAGCAATACAAATATTTCCAACAATAATCAAAAATTAAGTCAACAAAAAAACACAACACAATATTAGCAATAATAATAGGGTATACATAAGATACAAGATTGTTGTCTAGTTGACACTTTTCAACAATAACTACATACCTAAAACATTATTTAGTATTTAAATTTTCTATAATGTAAATTACTCTCACCCATTTGAATAGTTAACATAAACATATTTGTACGTTAAAACTTAAAATTAATTTATCATTAATGAACTAAATAAGACAAATAAAACATAATATAAAACACATTCATAGGTAGTTACATGCTAAAAACGATGTTCATATCATAATAATGTATGCTCAATAATGAGCACACTAAATTTACTAATTGGATCTTAAACTATTTAAGTTATTTGACAATAAGAACATAATAATTATTGTTTATAATATATATACTTAAACAATTAAACAAATACTGAGTTAAATTTTTCTAAATCAATGTTTTCCAACTTGGTGTATTGTAAAAATTTAGTCAGCTTGTAAAATAGCAAATATTTATGACAAAAATTGTTTTACTCTTAAACAAAAATAATTTAATTTCAAGAATAAATTAAAATAAAAAAAAAGTATTGTATGTTAAATAAAACTTCTTCAACTGTATTATTAGGAAAATAAGTTGAAAAATGTTTCAATGAAGTATTAACATAATCATACACAAATAATATGCATTATCTAAAACTCAATGATAAATAAACAAAAATCAATAGTTGAAATGAATAATTGTAAGATAAATGTTTTTACATTTGTCAACAATATATAAAATCATCTTAGAATTAAAAACTCAAAATATCATATTATTACAGTTTTCATATTGTTATATCTTTTATAAAAATTAATTCTATGTATAAAAATTTATTGTCATTGGGTATATTATAAGTCTTCTAAGTAGTAATAATACAATTAAAAATCAAATCTATAATGAATATTCATTAAAATGAATAATAAATAAAAATAGGTATATTAACAACAAACAATAAAGTCGTATCATTCATTCAGATTCTAAAGTTGTACACATCAATAAAATATTACTTTGTCCAACTAATTCCTCCTTACACCCCGTATCAATTTATCTAAAATAGTTAACAAAGTAAACAACATATAATATTACTTATTAGTCACAAGATATATAAAATAACATATTCTAACTCATTGAAATGAATTTCAAATAAAATTGTCAAGAAATAATAACTGAACATGCCAAAGAAAAAAAAAATAGCAAAATTATCACAGACTATCAACATTTAAACACTTCACCTTTAAAGGAATTATATAAATTAATAATTATAGTGATGATAATAATAATAGGTACTAAAAATAATCATGTTAAAATCTTTTTGAGAAAAAGAGATGTAATAAAGGATTGAGCAACGCAATGAAATATAAAGTACATTTAGAATTACAATTACTAGTTGAATCCCGAAATTTTTATTATATAATACTCTTATTAATTCTAATGTTAGTGATGTCCACGGTTATGAAGATATGTTGTTAATTACTCGAAATGTTAATATTCTAAAACGAGTAAAATGATTGTTATTGGTCATAGCGAGTAGATGTTTTAATTACTATCCATTTTGAAAGCATTAAATTTTTCTTTCACCACAGCTAAGGAAAATAATAAAAATTATTCAAATACCAAATAAAAAGAATGTATTTATAATAAAATCATTTATTGTGTAATTTTATTTCAATTACCATCATAATACTTTTTCAGACTCTCTAACTGTTGATTTCTTAACCAAATATGAGGTCGCTTGGATACAATATTTTCGATTGCTTGTTCAGGAGTCCAATTATGTTTCTAAAAGATAAATAATAAAAAATTTGAGTGATGATAAACTTAAAATTTGATAATAGGTAATAAAAGCAATCGGATAATGCTAATAAGTAATTTATACACATACAGACATCAAATAACATCCCACAAGTGTAGCACTACGAGTACGGCCTGCCTTGCAATGTACATACACAGTTTTACCATCTTTTGAAACTGATTCCATCACTGAGACGCCTTGAACTAATTTTTCATGTGATGGAGTCTCAAAAATATCTTTTGTACTCAGCTGACAATGTTCTACACCCATTTTTTTCCATTCCTGAAATCAAAATATAAATGTTGGTTATTCCAAAATCTTGACTAAATACCACAAGTTTATTTTAATTATTTATTACATATTTGGGTATAACTTATAGATATATTACGTATTATTTCAAATTGATAGATAGAATATATAAATACATAGAGAGTAAAACAAAGTTTTTTGTTTAATGTTTTTTATTAATTTAAAAGAAAAACTTAGTAACAAGTAGTACAGGCAATAGTTTCCAACAATTATTAACAGACCATTTACAACACCTAGAGTTAACTTTCACCAAGAAAAATTACTATGAAGGAATTAATGAAGCTCAAATTTATATCCATCTAAAAGTATACAAATATAATTCAATGTTAAAATGATTCATTTGATGTTCTAAACGTAACATAAATCAAAGGTTAATCAATTACATACCTCCTTAAAACTTATTGTAAAATTATGAAATTTATATTTTATAAATAACCTAATAAGAAAAGAATCTAAGAAATGCTAAGATTGGAATACTTTTAATGTACGCAATTTTCCCAAAGCCTAATTTTATTGGCCTAATAAATTTACTAATATTACTAAATGTATGTACCAGGTACCTATACCACCAGCAATAACCCACAAGCAACTCTTTTTAATATTATAATATTTAAATTAATAATACATTTTATAAAAATATATAAATTTAATATAAGTGCATGTTAATTCTTTTACACAATCTTTAAATTAGTGCTTTAAATAATATAAATTACAATAATTCAAAAAATATTATATTATATAAATATATAAGGATGTATACGTTGAATAAAATTTAAATAAACAAGCATCAAGATTTTGTAAGAAATTATTTTTGAAAAAGAATTTGTTCATAGTTCAACTATTATAGGTCGCTATGATTTATTAGCAACATTATTGAAATTATATATTAATATAATATATTATTTACATTAAAATCAAAATTCTTAAGAATGATAAAATACATTAATATATCAAATCTATCTAACGTCAAACACAAAATATTAAAAAAAAAATTATATAATCATTATTTTGTTTGATTGCACAAAACAGCACACAACTCAAAAGATAGTAAATTTAAATTATTTATCCTCAATAAGAAATAGATAGAAAAATACATTATATTATTATTGATTTATCTAATTGCGTGCATTTATACATTATGCATACTTTGAGATTCTATTTAATTTACATTTTTCACATTTTGAGGCTGGGATCTTTACTATTAACGTATTGTACAACATTATGTTTATTATACAGCAATTGGATTTATATTTTAAAAATAAATCTGTAACAATAAATATTTTTTATTGGGTTGATTTGAAACAAATAAATCACCTTCAATAAACCACATAAAATGCTTTTACCTTTAAATTTACATTTTTTTTTGGTTAATGTATTCTAATATTATTTTATTATTATTTTTATTTCTTCTTCAAGAAGATAATGGACCCTACCGAATATGTTTGTGTTCTTGATGTTAAAACTAATCAAGCTAAACAAGAACTGCTCAGCATAAATTTGCTGTTAGATTGCTGATGAGAAACGGAAATAACACAAGCAGGTGAGAATTAAGCCATAAGTATACAGACATACTCAACTGGGAAATAATTTGAACAGTTATCACATTAAAAAAAAAAAATTTAACAAATTTTTAATCTTTTTGATAAAAACAACATTTTTGTATAAAAATTATAATATTATTATATAGTTTTAAGCAGTTTTTTCTTAACAGAAAGCAAATATACATTTAAAATTGTATATTACCAAACAGAATATTTTACTGAAAATGAAACAACAAAAAAATGGGAATTAAGAATGAGTAGTTGACTGCAAAATGTCTATCTACTACCATTGAGTATAATAATATATTGTACAGAGAAACAATGTTCAATATTATATGCTACCAGTCACTAATGATATTATGTATTTTTAATTTTTTAATATGTGAAGTTAACGAATATTATATTATTACTCATATTTTATTGTTTGACATAATAATAATAATATAATAATTCATTTTATTGCTATATTGTACATTATGGAAGAAAGATAATTATTATAATAATTAATTTGACACTGGCAATTGTGAACAATCATTATTAAAAAGTAAAATTACTACACTGTTTTTGCCTCCACGACAAAATTGGCCATGCACCTATTATTAGCCGCCTATTCAGGAGCGTAGGATATTTTTATGGTACATTGTTTCTCTATACAATATATACTCAATGCTACTACTCAGCTTAAAAATGTTTTATTTATAAATAATAATTTTAAATAAAAACAAAAACATATTACATCTATTGATTAATTACTTGTTCAAAAATAAAAATCATTCAGTTAAATTCAATTTTGGAGTATGAAAAGTATAACATCGATGGGCGAGCAATAGGTCGTATCTCAAAAAAGTAAAATGTTCAGGAGAGACAAAAACGTGAACACTGATAACATGTAATCAAGTTACGTCAAAATTACAATTAAGTCTTCAATTTTCTTGCAAATTATTATTATTAATATTAATATAATTATCAAATCATGTGTTATTTTTCCCCGCTTTTTTTTATGTATAAATCGCAAAATCGATTTTTCTTGAGATACGACATATTACTCGCCCATCGGCGATAATGCAAATTGCCATTCAAATTAGCAAACTACTTAAAAATTATAACAGTCATAATTTAAAACAAATTTATATTGCAAAATGTTATTCCGTAAAAAAAAAATTAATTATTTTTAAGATAATGATTATTTACTGCTAAAAGGATCCCCATATAAAAATAAAATCTATATACAGTGTGTAAACGGTAATCGAGAACACTCAATATCTTTGCGTAGAGACCTGCTATTTGAATTCCGTTTTTTTGGCAGTTGTTATGACATAAAAATACACATTTTTATGGTCTTTGAATTTTTTTTACTTAATTAGTCACGCGCATGCGCAAGTCAACTTTTTTTTTTTAAATGGCAACCCCCTGCTTTAACCACTACTTATTTTTTGCCTATTTTTTTAATGAATTTTGGTAGTTGAATCAACTTTCTAAGTCCAAAATTGACCAAGTTACAGCCAATCAAAAAAAAGAAAAATTAGAAAAAAAAATGCGCTCGATTTTCAGCTTTTTGATTGTAACTCTGAAAATAATTATTTTAGGAATGTTAAACATTGACATTTTTGTAACTATTTATTACGGTGATATTCATACGTTATTTTAACTTCAATTACTGAATAATTTTCTCGCGCTGAATCATGTTTTGTTCACGGCAGAGAACAGTTTGAACAATTTATTCGTTAGATTTTTTTTTTTTTTTAGATTTTTATTAACTAAATAAATTGGTAACTTAAATAAGAATTGAATTTGTTATAAATTAATAATTATTAATACGTTCTAATAGATCCATTAAATGTAAAGAAATAAACAACATACTAATTTACGTTTTTTCTGCTATAATAAGTTATATGATTTATTACACAAATTAAAGAGAAAATTATTCAGTAGGTAATTGAAGTTAAAATAACTTATAAATATCACCGTAATAAATAGTTACAAAAATGTCAATGTTTAACAATCCTAAAATAATTATTTTCAGAGTTAAAATCAAAAAGCTGAAAATCGAGCACATTTTTTTTTCTAATTTTTCTTTTTTTGATTGGCTGTAACTTGGTCAATTTTGGACTTAGAAAGTTGATTCAACTACCAAAATTCATTAAAAAAATAGGCAAAAAATAAGTAGTGGTTAAAGCAGGGGGTTGCCATTTAAAAAAAAAAGTTGACATGCGCTTGCGCGTGACTAATTAAGTAAAAAAAATTCAAAGACCATAAAAATGTGTATTTTTATGTCATAACAACTGCCAAAAAAACGGAATTCAAATAGCAGGTCTCTACGCAAAGATATTGAGTGTTCTCGATTACCGTTTACACACTGTATGTAACATAATAAATTAATTTTACATAAAAAAAATACAAAATACATTACAATCATATAACATAAATTATTATTATAAAGTATTATTTACCTAGTGTAACAACTAAGAAATTATTTATTATATGTTTTGATGCAAAAGTAAAAAGGTTCAATTATATTCTATTTTTAAAATATTTACATGCCTTTAACTAATACAGTAAAACCGGTATAGGCTAGGTATGAGTAACAAATAATAACTCATAAGTAAAGACCGGATTTAAATGTTTTTAAATTTTTTTTACTGGGTTTATGCAGTCCTGTGAAAGTAAAAAATATGGACGATTCGTTCAATTCTGAGTTCATAGCATAAGACCTATAAACTAATGAAAATCGCTTAGAGAGAGAGAGAGAGAGAGAGGTCAGGGATACAATAAAGAGTAAAAGAGAAAGAGAACATGGGGGAAATATAGTGTTAGTTTATAGGCCTATATTTACTTTATAGGTCTACTTTATGTTCTTTCTCTCTTTCTTTTATATGATTCCCGTGCATTGATGGCAGGGCGGAGTGGAATGCGCTGTCCGTTAGTTCATAGGTCTATAGTTCATACAAAAGAGTTTTTTTGCATATTTAAGAATATTTCACGGGCTAGGGAATATTTAACCCATTTATCATTTAGCAAACATACTAACACAATTGATAAAACCATTCATTAAAAAAGACATTATTTTAACAGTGGATAAAAAAAAAATTTAAAAATGCATATTAAAGCATAAATTTACTTTTATTGATTATTTTTGCAAATTTTTGGAGGTTTTTTATAGAATATTAGCATCATATTTTAGGTATTTTAAGAGAATATAAATCTGGTCTTTACTCATAAATTATTTACACAGTAATTTAATTATTAATTTTAATAAAAAAAATTTAGGATATTTATTTGAGTTCATGTAGATTTTCTGATTATCTGCACCTCTTGATATTAATTTTTTAAGATAATTGACATAGTTGACCAAATATTAAATTATACTTAATTGTGTATAATTAAACTTACTTCTGGTTGAGGTGTGAAATGTTCCAGTTCATACGATTCATTCATTGATATCACACATCTGACATTTTCCTCATCAATTAACTATAAAAAATATTATTTTTAATAACAAATAATAATTTAACAACATGAAAACTATGAGTATACATGTATATATAATTGGTAAACATATTTATGACAACAACTTAATGTGAAAATAACAAATAAACATGCATTATATGAATAGAATTAGTAAATAAAAATATAATTATCTGAAATTGTTTATCCAACATCTAATCAATAATAATTGATACATATATAATTTCTATAATAAATGGCCAACATAAATACATACTTTTTGACTTATATTCCTAAAAGGAAGTGCTCCCAATATAACATTTTCATCAATTCGATCATACCAGTTGCGCTGTGTTACCTTTTCCATAAATACATTGTATAAAAGAGTTGGATAAAATGTGACACGGGCAAACATTGCTCAGTTAGAAAATTTGAAATCTGAAATTTAAAACAGATAGTTGATGAAAAATTAAATCACATTATATTATTATGAACTTAAAATGTAATAAAAACTAAATTAATTTTAAACTTAAATACATTTATTGTAATACATTTTAATGCATACTTCTAAAATAACACTTTTAAAAAGAAATTGTTGTAATAAACAGTATATTTGAATTTCACTTAATTTACTATGGTCTATGACCTGCTGAACATTGGCGTTATAGGTTTTACAATTTATATATTTTTATTTGATGTTAAATAAAATTATCCTTGGATAAACTGCATAGATATTTGAATCCCGTTAAAAGATTATATTAAAAACTTTTTAGATATCCATGGCACCATAGATGCACAATACTCATTCCATTGTTTATAGTTTAATGCGATTATAATAAATTAGTAATAATACATTTTAAACTCTTATTATTTTAAAAAAAGGTCTTAAGAATTAGGTAGATATTGTATAAAATTATAAAAATTGCACTGTCATACATTTAAGTACTAAGTTTAAAATACACTTTAAATCTGTTATACTTAAAACCTATCAGATATCCGTCAGAAAAAGTATAAATTCCTTGTATAGTAAACACTAAGCACACATTGTGTGTATTAGTCAATAATAATCTTCAAAATAGAAAAATTGATGACCCTGCCAAGTAACAACCAATATAATTGGACAATATTTTTATTTATTCTCAACTGTACAGCATTGAATTAAACAATTAATTGAAAAAAAAGAGAGTAAGTGGATGTTGCTCTGCTGTACAGTAGGTTACAAGTGGATCAATGTATAATGGATTGTATTTAACTTGACTTCAATGATAAAATATCATTGTATAAGAAAAATGATTCTAAGCGGAGACGGTTTGTCAGTCTGGATATTTTATAATGTTATTATTTATTTATTATAGCCTGTAAGTTGCATTGATATTATAATATTATAATTTTTTATTCATTTCAATGGTGATACACAAAGCATTGGAAATTAAAATTCTATTTTTAGCGGTTTTTTTGTAATTTATCGGTGGTTTTTCTCCTTGGCATTAAATAAATATAGAGAAAATCGAAAAATGACCTCTCTAAAGTACTATCTTGATCCATTTTGCTAAAAGATAAGACACTATAATATGTTGGAATCAAAGCACTCCTTCAGGTAGAAATTTTGTATACAGGATAAAAAAAAAAAAAATAAACACCATTGTAAAACCACTAGCTTCCTTGCTCCGATATGAATCTAAAATCAAATATCTGAGTAACATATAGAAATAAAATAATTAGAATTAAATTAATACATTATAATTTTTTTAATTTTGAGGTCTTACTAATAATTACAAATATATTTTAATTATTAATTTAATAAAAAATGGTAACTCGTTTTGAGGTAAAGGGTTATCTCCAATCCATGAAAAATCAAAATATCTTATATTACCTATTTGTGGTAATAACAAAATAACATTATCAGTTAATATCAAATTTAAATATACCTATTCTAAACACTGATGATTTTGTATTTTTGTTCAATATAATACTAAGAATATTTTTAATTAAATATGGTTTATAATTCTTCGAAAACGGCCAGAAGAATAGACAAGTATTTTAGATTTTATATAATTCAAAAACAAAATATATTAGATTATTATTTATCTAATTTGTATGGAGGAAAATAAAATGTATTATAATTTTTAATTATTATGTTTTGTTTTTATTATGCAATTAGTCTCAGATTGTGGTGTAGTTCATTATGATTTAAAAATATATACTTCATGTTTTGTTATACCTAGAAATTTTAACATTTTTAATATCATCAATACTGGCGACAACTTTCTAAATGTTGTCATTAAAAATAGTTTAGTCGTAGAATTTGACAATATAATTTAAAAATTAGAATTCATAAAAAATAAGATGATGTAATGCATTAAAAAAATATTAATTCAACAAGTTAGAACACCGAATTACAACAGATATAAAGGTAATTTCATATTTACTCAAATATCAATAATTTAACTTAAACACAATTTTAAATAGAAATATACTTTAGAATCAATTTAAAAAAGAATAAATTGTACAGACAAATAATAAATGAAAATTAGGCATACACTACATTTAAATAAATGTATCGTCACACATGAATCTCGCCTGAAACTATAAAGTCAAACAGATATTATAATTTATCCGTGAATAAAACTAAAGGAATGATTCATGTATATAACTACCTACCTATTATATTATCATAGAAATAACCAAGTTAGTATTTAATAAAAGTACTACTTACATAAAATTAAGTTTACTTGAGATTTAACAAATACCCAATTATTTTTCTGAGCGGTGTATAGGTATTCGATGTATTCGAAAGTGGACCAATCAACAATGAACAATTTGGTAGATTATGCTAAAAAGTAGGACTACGGTCTACGATATTTAATATTATTCAAAATGTACACTTTCGAAAAATTTCTACTCTCTCTAGGAGAATAGTGTTATCGTAAATAAAAAAAAAAATTATCTTGTAGTACATAAATGTTACACATATGTTTCGTTTATCATTACAGCACGAAGCCAACACGACAACAAAATAATGAGTCGGATTGTCGAAAGCAGCTGCTGCTGCAGAGAAAGCGTCGTCTTCTTATCATTAATTCCTTTAAGCTGTTGGACGATTGGACAGATGTAACACTGTAACAGTAATGAAATGATAAGACGGAGGTAATTATTGGCGTCAGATACCGATACCAAACTACCCATGTAAATTAATATTTAATAAACCTAAAACCACCGTTTGGTAATGTCGTGGATTATTTAGAAATGTAGGAAATAATAATTTACTCATATTACTCACTGGACCAGAATATTAGAGTTTATTTACCAAACGAGTCAATAAGATCCAAGAATAAAAAGATAGGTAGGTACCTACAATAATATTATGCTGAATGCTGATATGTTGTGTGATAGAAAAATAAACTTTAGCAATGAAGTATGTACTAATAAATATTCATTATTATATTATATTGTTTTATTTATGTATTTCATATTTTCATATGTATTTATTAAACATAAAAACTGCAAAAATAGAAAATAATTTTTTTTTTTTCAAAAAAGTTGTTTTGTGTAATTCCTAATGAGTACAAAGTGCAGGAGAACATTTTTTTTTGAATGTCCGAAAATGTTGCTTTCCAAGCACAAAGGTACATTTCATACACAAAGGGAATTAAAAAATGTAACTTTAATTTTGCACTTTTGACATTTCTAGTAGCTACATATTTATGTGTTTACGTCTTTTTTTTTGTAAGAATGGATGAAATTTGAAAAAATTTTAGTTAATTACTAATGAGTTATAACTTAAAAACGATGTAAAATTTATATTTTCAAAAGCTTTCATACATCTTGGTGGTTTTAGGAAATGGTAATAATCGTCAAAATAGGCCTCGTGATAAAATCTGGAAGATAGACTAATAACAGATGCGGAAATATGCCCTTAAAAATACTCATTGGCCCAATAATTCAGTTCATAATGAGTTCAATAGGTGACGAGAATGAGTCCATTTATAGTAAGTACAATATGTGGTGAGTCCAAATCCGATAACTATTAACTACTATATCTATAAAAACAGCAAAAGTATTTATTAGACTTTTCAGTATTCTTTCACAACTTCACTACTAATGAGCTACTTTGAATTTAATTGTAAGGCCTGTTAGCTCTAAAAATTTAAAATTTTATAATGTTTTAAAAACAAAATAATTTGCTAAGGTTAAAAATTAAATTCTTAGTACCTAGTATTTAAAATAATCGGGAAAAACAAAAACGAAAATATGAACATTCGTTAAAATGTAATATTATTATTAAAATAATTATTTGGAAACCAAGGTTACCTACTGGCTACTATATAGACAGTGTTTGCTCAGAATCGTGTTTTATCGTTTCAAATTTAACCCATACACTCACTACTGTGCCTACTTAATGACGAGGTACACCGTACACACGCTTGACTAATTTTTAAATATTTTTAAATTGCTATAAGAAGAACCTAAGATAAAGCTTGTACCTATTACATTTTCAAGCATATAACCAAGCATAAAAATTAATATCACGACTAAAAGTATTGAATCAAATATTTCGTGTGAATAAATTATACGGGCATGCAAGTTGGTATAATGGTATGTACTCTGGGCTGTAATTTGATAATATCATTTGGACAAAAAAAGTTCTATTGTTTCAAAATCCATTATTTTTGTTTTTTTTAAACTTGAATAATTTTTTTTAGTTCCGATATTGAAAAAATAAACTATACTTCACAGCCGAAGTTCTCCCTTTTTATGTGGTGAACATGTCGTTTCTTAGTTATGACTGTAACCTTCTCGGTTCATTCCCGCCCAAAACAGTTTTTAATTTTTTATCACCTTTTGCTGTTTTATATATTTTGTAAGTCGCAACACTTTCGGCTGTAAGTGCCTGTAACGTCCTCTTACATTAATTTTTTTGGCCGTGTTTCCATACATTTTATAATAATATGGAGAATAATGTCTTTTGTTAATCAAATACAATTGTCATAATAGTTTACAGGGTTTTAAAATTTAAAAACAAATGATTTATGTTAGGTATTTATAATAAAATATAAATTTTTAACACGAATGCACAGCATTTGTTATAAACCAAACTCGGTTTATTAATGTACAGTAGTTACATTTTTCTAAGAAACTACAAGAACTAAGACAATGGAAAATTTATTATAGGCACCTATTTATTTACCATTATGCCAAGTCGACCGATAGAGCTTAACTAAAATTATTAAAATAGGTAGAAATATAGGGGAGTTGAGCCGTAGAGAAATAAAATAAAATAAACTATGATTTTGTGATTTCCGGAAATTTGGTAAATATTGCCACAAATTACGATATTCGGTACTAAATTATAATAATACCGCTTGGGAAGTTGGTTGGCAAATAATACTATATAGGCATTAATTATAGGTAATT